TTGTTGCTCCTTCAGATGCTCCTGCTTGCTGTTCAGGTGATCCTTCCAACTCCTCTTGCTCCTGATATTGCTGCGCCTCCTGCTGCTCTGGAGCGCCTCTTGTTCTTCTTGTTGCGCGTACTAATGCTCGTGCTGCCGGCTGCTCCTCCACTTGCCCTAGCGGCTCTTGCTGATGCTCATGCTTTGCTCCTGTTTCTCCTCCCCCTCCTGCTGGTCATCCTGCTGCCACTTCTCCAGCTGCATCTACGATCCCCACAAATAGTATGCTGGATTTTACGACTACCGTGACAACCTTTATTCTTACTACTACTGCTACTACTACTACTACTACTACTACTACTACTATTACGACTACTACTACTACTACTACTACTACTACTACTACTACTACTACTACTACTACTACTACTACTACTACTACTACTACTACTACTACTACTACTACTACTACTTACTACTAATACTACTACTACTACTACTACTACTACTACTACTACTACTATACTATACTACTACTACTACTACTACTACTACTACTACTACTACTACTACTACTACTACTACCACTACTACTACTACTACTACTACTACTACTACTACTACTACTACTACTACTATACTACTACTACTACTACTACTACTACTACTACTACTACTACTACTACTACTACTACTACTACTACTACTACTACTACTACTACTACTACTACTACTACTACTACTACTACTACTACTACTACTACTACTACTACTACTACTACTACTAGTACTAGTACTAGTACTACTACTACTACTAGTACCACTACTACTACGACGACGACTACTACTACTACTACTACGACTACTACTACTACTATTATTCCTACTACTACTACTACTACGACTACTACTACTACTACGAATAGTATTATTATTGCTATTACGACGACGATTATGATTAGTACTATTACTACGACTACGACTACGATTGTTATTTCTACGAGTACTGTTGCTACTACACCTACTACGACTACTACCACTATTAGTACTACTACTACTACTACGGTTACTATCACCACTACTAGTACAACGACAAATCCAACTACACGTACACCTACAACTACACTGGCGGCTACAACTGCACATGCAACCAGTACTACTACTACTGCTACTACCACTATAACTACTACTACTACTGCTACTACTACTAGTACGACTACTACGACTACTACGACTACCCCTGCTACTAGGACCTACTGCCAACACAATCTTTTCCTACAATTACTACTTCTACTACTACCACTGTTGCTACGACTACTACTACTACTACTACTACTACTATTACGACTGGTACTACTAATACTACTACTACTACTATTATGTTTACTACTACTACTACTACTATTACTACTACTACTACTACTACTGCTAATGCTGTTGCGGCTACGACTACTAGTATTAGTCGTACTAGGGGATTCGAGTAGTACGATTGCTTCCACCACGGCTACGACTGGGCGGGATAGTCTGGCAACTACTAGTACTAGTACGACTACGACTGCTACTACGACGACGACTACTAGTACTACCACTACTAATACTACTACTACATCTAGTACAAGTACACCCGCACCTGCAACTACGACTACAGCCGGAACTTATGTTAATCCTCGGCCGCTAATATCATTACTACTCATTGTCCTGCCACCACTGCGGTTACTACTACGCTGTTTTCTGCTACTGTTATCAGATACACCTACCACTACTACTGCAGCTGCTATTGGTGCTATCATTTTTGGAACGGCGCCGACGACTAGTATTGTTGCGATGACGACTCGTATTAGTACATTTGCGGTTCTGAATACGATCGCCGTTATTTTTATTACTTCTACTACTACTACAACTACTACTTCTACTACTTCGTCTACTACTTTTTCTACTACCACTTACCATTCATACGACTACTACGACGCCTACGACCACTACGGTCACGATTAATTGCATTGGGGCTGCTACTATTACGATTGCTGCTACCACAAATTCTACCCTTTATAGCTACTACTAATACTACGTTTAACACTTTCTATTGGTAGCCGATTGTACCTACTACAACTATTGTTGCTGCAGTGTTTGATATTCGTACTACTACAACTACTACTACTACTACTACTACTACTACTACTACTACTGCGACTATTGGTACCATGAATACTACTGCAGCCCGACTATCATTCCGATCACTAGTTCTACGGGAACCATTACTACTCCTATCATGACTACTGCAACCACGATTTTTATTATCACCTTTGGTATAACTGCTACTACGACTACGACGACTACTACTACCACGACTACTGTTGCCACGACTATTTCTACGACTATTACGACTATTACGACTACTACGACTACTACGACTACTACTACTACTACTTCTACTACTACTACTACTACTACTACTACTACTACTACTCTTTTCTACTACTACTACTACTACTACTCTTCTTGGTATCTCTAATACTACTACTAGGACTACGGCTAGTACTAGGACTAGTATTTCTAACATTATTACTACTACTACTACTACTACTACTGCTGCTGCTAGCGCTACTACTCGTACTGCTGCTGCTGCTACTCCTGCTATTACCCGTACTACCCATATATTGTTCCAAGTACTACGACGACTATCACGACTACTGCTACTAGGACGATTATTTTTTACAACTGCACTAAGTTACGACGACTACTACCACTACTACTACGAAATAACTGCCAGGTACGACTACGGCTGCCCCTGCTATCTCCACGACGAATACGACAACCAGTATTATTATTTCCCGCATTATTACTTTTTTATATTAAGACTACTACTACGACTATTACTACTACTACTACTACTACTACTACTGCCACTACTACTACTACTACTACTACTACTACTACTACTACGACTACTACGAGTACTACTACTACTACTACTACTTTTACTGCTACTACTACTACTACTACTACTACTACTACTACTACTACTACTATACTACTACTACTACTACTACTACTACTACTACTACTACTACTACTACTACTACTACTACTACTACTACTACTACTACTACTACTCTTACGACTACTACTAACACTACTACTACTACTACGACGACGATGACTACTACTAATAAGAAACCTAATACTAGTTATACTACGATTATGTTTACTTGTGCCACAACTTTTAACACACATAGGACACATAGTGCAAAGTACGAAATCTACAAGCGCAGTGCGACGACTAGTGTAAATTCGCATCCTTCTGCTTACTGTCACTATTAACGCTACTTCTGATATCACGTAGTACTTCGCAGTACGTACGATGTATCACGCACTACGCACTTGCACGGCTAACATTTCCAGTCGTAGCAGAAGTAGTTTTAGGATAAGAAGTACGCGTGCAAGTACACTTTGTTGTAGAAGTACGGGTCGTAGAAGTAGACGTTGCAGTCGTAGCTGTAGCATCAGTAGTGGCAGTCGTACTCGCTCTTGTGCTACAGTAGTAGTGGTTCCACGAGTGTTGTTAGTACGATACCGATTCAGAGTAGTACTACATTCACGTATTGAGCTAGTTCGCCGATTGGGTATACTACTATTGTTACGTTTCGTTCGAATATAGCAGGTCTTCCTTGTTTACGCCGCTGGTCGTCGTCGTCATCGCCCGCGCCGCCGGTCGTCGCCGTCGTCGTCGCCGTCTTGTTTGGTTGTTGTCGTCGTCGGCGTCGGTGCCTTCGTTGCCGGTGTCCCTGTCGTTGTCGTCGCCGACGGTGGTCGTCGTCGTCGTCCTCCTCCTCGTCTGCGTGGTCTACTCCCAGGGGGGCCCGACGGGGCTTCCCTGGGGGGGCCTCCATGGGGAAAGCGGCAGCGTTGTCTTTGTCTCAGCGTTTCAGGATGCGGAGGAGGAGGGGGGCGTAGGACAGAGGAGAGAGGACGGAGGAGGAGGAGGAGGAGGAGAAGGAGGAGGAGGAGGGCCAGTACTGTTACTACCAACGCGACTGCCAGTACGATGCCCCGAGCTTACCACGTTCCCGCTACACCCCCACGGCGGCCGGACCCCCCTTTCTCCCCCGTGACGAACGTTACGTTGGGGGGAAGTTCACAAGCGTTATCCTCCTCCTCATTTCGGCTTGGTTAGGGGGCCACATGCGAACCCTACCCCTACCCCACACGATTTTTGAGGGGGAGGGGGTTCACTTCGCTCGGGAGCTCTCGAACAAAGTGAACCCCACCCTCCCCCTCAAAAATCGTGGGGGGTAGGGGTAGGGTTCGCATGTGGCCCCCCATTGGTCCCGCGTGATCCCGGGCTGGACCGGACCCCATGTTGTTTCTTTCAGCGGCGAGCGAGGGAGGGTGGTGAGAAGGAAACGGCCCTCTCAGAAGGCGGCGGGACTTTTCAGAACCCTTCGCGCTTTCGGAACAAGTTGGCCGCGTCTGCGGGAAAGGCGCGGGAAGCTTCTCAGAAAGCCGGGGGACTTCCGAGCCTCACTGGAAGGGCCAAGGGGCCGCGCCCTGTGCCCTTCCCCCCCCCTTTTAAGCGCGCCGCATATCCTCCTCGCATCAAGGGGGGGCCAGCGTCAGGCCTTCGCCTCCTCCTCCTCCTCCTCCTCCTCCTCCCTCCGTCCTCCCCTCCTCCTCCCTCCTCCTCCTCCCTCCTCCCCTCCCCCTCCCTCCCTTCCCAGACCTCCTCCTCCTCCCTCCCTCCCTCCCTCCCTCCCTCCCTCCCTCCCCCTCCTCCTCCTCCCTCCTCCTCCTCCTCCTCCTCCTCCTTCTCCTCCTCCTCCTCCTCCTCCTCCGCTTTTTCCCCTCCTTCCCCGAAGCTGCAGACACCTTTTCAGAAGGCGCGAGGGTTTCTGAGACGTCCCGCCGCCTCCTAAGGAGGCCTTTTCCTTCTTACCTCCCCCCCTCGACCGCCGCCGATCAGTGGCACAGTCGTCGGGATGGATCTGGTCCTGAATGAATCCTTCCTGGCGGAAGCCTCCCAGGAGCTGCCTTCCTTAAAATTACAGGACGTGGAGGCGCGGGCGGCGCCGCTGGCGGAGATCCTCGCGCTGCTAGACGCGGCGTCGACGTAGGGTTTTGTCCAGACTCCTCCTTCTCCTCTTCCTCATCCTTCCTGCCCCGCCTTCCTCCTCCTCCATCTCCCCCTCTTCTTCTTCCTCCTCCTCCTCGGTCAGGCTCGGTCAGGCTCTTCTTTTCCTGACTTGAGCTGAGGTTGTTGAGTCGCGGCCGGCCCAGATGCAGGGACAGGCTTCGAGGAATGAGGAATTAGGAATTCCTCCTCCTCCTCCTCCTTCCTGCCCTGCACCGCCTTCCCGTTCCGCCTCCTTCGGGCAACAAAACGGGGAGAGCTCGATTCCCCGGTTCGATGGTTCAAGCACCGGTTACATGGGGTTTTCCTCGGCCGGCCGGGGAAATGAGCAGTGGCCGGAAGACCTCGCTCGTTTTCACAGCGTAGTTGTGTGTCGTCCATGCAAGAGCCGAGCAACAATATCATTATCTTTAAGGAGACCGCACAAGTTCCAGGAACAAGGACCGGAGAATCACCCAATTGCCTGGAAGAAGTAGCCGTAGAAGTAGTAGTAGTAATAGTAGCAGTACTGGTAGTAGAAGTAGTTGTAGTAGTATTCGTAGTAGTAGTAGTAGCACTACTGCTGCTGCTGCTGCTGCTACTACTACTACTGCTACTACTACTACTACTACTACTACTACTACTACTTGTACTAGTACAAGTAGTAGTCCACGTGGTCGTCGTAGCCGTAGTCGTAGTCGTAGCAGTAGCAGCAGTATTAGCAGTAGTAGTAGTAGTAGTAGTAGTAGTAGTCGTAGTAGTAGTAGTAGTAGTAGTAGTAGTACTAGTACTAGTACTAGTACTAGTACTAGTCGTAGTAGTAGTAGTAGTAGTAGTAGTAGAAGAAGTAGTAGAAGTCGTAGTAGTAGTAGTAGTAGTAGTAGTAGTAGTAGTAGTAGTAGTAGTAGTAGTAGTAGTAGTCGTAGTAGTAGTAGTTTTCGCGGTAGTAGTATTATTCGTAGTAGTAGTGGGCGTAGTAGTAGCGGTAGTAGTAGTATCATTCGTAGTAGTAGTAGGCGTAGTAGTAGGCGTAGTAGTAGTAGTAGTAGTAGTAGTAGTAGTAGTAGTAGAGGGTGTAGTAGTAGTAGAAGTAGTAGTAGTAGTAGTAGTAGTAGTAGTAGTAGTAGTAGTAGTAGTAGTAGTAGTAGTAGTAGTAGTAGTAGTTGTAGCACTAGAAGTAGTAGTAGTGGTAGTAGTAGTGTTAGTGGTAGTAGTAGTAGTAGTAGTAGTAGTAGTAGTAGTGGTAGTAGTAGCCGTGGTACTGGTAGTAGTAGTCGTAGTAGTAGTAGTAGTAGTAGTAGTAGTAACAGTAGTAGTAGTAGGAGGAGTTGTAGTAGCAGTAGTAGTAGTAGTAGCAGTAGTAGTAGTAGTAGTAGTAGTAGTAGTCGTAGTGTTAGTCGTCGTCGTAGTATTAGTATTAGTAGTAGTAGTAGTAGTAGTAGCAGTAGTAATAGTAGTAGTAGTAGTAGTAGTAGTAGTACTGGTAGTAACAGTCACAGTAGCAATCGTAGTAGTAGTAGTAGTAGTAGTAGTAGTAGTCGTAGTAGTTGTAGGAGTAGTAGTATCAGTCGTAAGATTAATGGTAGGGGGGGTACTAGCAATAGTACTAGTATTAGCTAGTTTGAGCTCGTAGTAGTAGTAGTAGTAGTAGTAGTAGTCGTAGTAGTAGTGGTAGTAGTAGTCGTAGTAGTAGTAGTAGTAGTAGTAGTAGTAGTAGTCGTAGTCGTAGTCGTAGTCGTAGTCGTGGCAGTAGTGGTAGTAGTGGACGTAGTACTAGTAGTCGCACTAGCATTGGTTCCAGCAGCAGTAGTGGCAATACTACTATGCGTTGTCGTTTGTGTGGTCGTAATAGCAGGGGCGCTAATGGTAGCAGTGGTGGTAGCAGGAGTAGGGGTAGTAGTAGAAGCAGTAGTAGAGGACAAGTAGTAGTCGTAGTAGTAGTAGTAGTAGTAGTAGTAGTAGTAGTAGTAGTAGTAGTAGTAGTAGTAGTCGTAGTCGTAGTCGTAGTCGTAGTCGTAGTCGTAGTCGTAGTCGTAGTCGTAGTAGTAGTAGTAGTAGTAGTAGTAGTAGTCGTAGTAGTAGTAGTAGTAGTCGTCGTCGTAGTAGTCGTAGTAGTAGTCGTAGTAGTAGTAGTCGTAGTAGTAGTCGTAGTAGTAGTCGTAGTAGTAGTCGTAGTAGTAGTAGTAGTAGCTGGAGAAGTCGTAGCAGTAGCCTTAGTAGTAGTAGTAGTAGTAGTAGTAGCAGTAGTAATAGTAGGGGTTGTAGTAGTGGTAGCAACAGCAGCAGCAGTATCAACATATACTATTTGCGACCGTTTGGGTGGTAGTAATAGTCGCAGTGGCCATGGTAGTAATCGTAACTGGAGTAGTAGAAGAGGACGGAACAGTTTTAGCCAGGCAATAGTCGAGTCACAGTCAAGTGGTAGTAGTAGTCGCCGTAATAATCTTAGAGGTAGTAGCAGTCGTAGTACTAGTAGTAGCAGTAATAGTAGTGATGCCACGAGTAGTATGACTAGTAATACTAGTAGTCGTCGCAGCAGCAGTAGTTACAATGATACGAATATTCGGCGTGTGTTTGGTAGGAATAACAGCATCCTAGAGGCCTCTCAGTAGCCTCTAAGAGGCCTCGTATATGCTTCCTAAGAGTCTCTTGGAGGCCTCTTATAAGCTACTGGGAGGCCCATAAGAGTTTCTTAGAAGCCCCGAAGAGGTCTTTAAGGCCTCTAGAGGTCTTGAACAAAAAACGCTGGAGGCTTCTAAGAGGCCTAGGCTCTGAGACCTCTTAGAAGCCTCGTAGAGGCTTCTTAGAGGCCTCCGTAGAGGCTTATTCGAAGTTTCAAAGGGGCCTTAGAGGCTAGATAGAGGCTTCCTAGAGGCTTCTTAGATTGGCTTCTTAGAGGTTTCTTAGAGGCCTCTTAGATGCCTCTTAGAAGCCTTTTAGAAGCCTCTTAGAGGTTTTTTTTTTCCATAGGCCTCTTAGAGGCCTCGTAGAAGCTCGCAGAGGCCTCTCAGAAGCTTCGCAGAAGCTCGTTAGAGGCCTCTGAGAAGCTCCGTAGAACCTCGTAGAGGCTCTTTTCGAGGCCAGGTAGAAGCCTCGAAGAGGCCTGAACGATGCCTCTCTGCGACGAGTAAGATTTCCTCACGTCTTGAAGTAACCGGGGAGTAAACCATTTTGACCGGGGGAAACTCCATTCCATCGGCGTACATACCATCAAATTGGTGTTTACACTTCGACTGGGGTGGGGCCGGGAGAGGGGGCCCGAAGTCGGCCCCGCCGCCGTTCGCGCTCCTCGGTGCTCTGGGCCTCTTCGATGGGGTCCGACTTGATGGGGTCGGACGATCTTGTCGTACAGTGGATGCCCATGCCAAGAAACACCCTGCTCGCCTCCAGGGTGCCCTGGGTTCCTTGGGTTTCGAGGGTTTTGCGTTGGAAAGAGTGAACGCCAAAAATCCATGGACGTCCTGGGGTCTCAGGGATGGATGTCTTGGGAAGGTTTCTTGTGGACGGGCCTCCACTTTGTGTCGTCGATGCATGGGCGATGCGGCTCGATGCTGGGCCCGATATGCTTCACGCGGACTTCGCCGATGTATCGCCGATGTCGCCGATGCATCGGCGATGTATCGCCGATGCGTCGGTGATGCGGCGTGAGCCCCCGACCACATTCTCTACTCGGACCCCATCCGGGAGTCTTCTGTCGACGCCCTCGGGGTCTGGGCCTGCCCCCAGGGACCAGCTTTTCGTCCTGAGGCGTTGTTGGACTCTCCCGGGACCCAGCGAGAGCGTTCGGAGATTGAAAATCGTAGCCCGCCGTCGTTGTTTTTGCATTTCTTCATTGCGACAAGGGGGGGGGGCTTCCTCCCCCTCCCTTCCCCCTTGCTTTCCCTCCTCCTCCTCCTTCTCCCCTTCCGCCCGCGTGCCGCCGCGTTCCGCGCGCGGTGGGCCAACCCCCGCGAGCTGACAAAACTCGTTCCCATACCTGTGTGACCCTCAGATCTCTCGGGGTGGAAATTCCGGAGATGGGGGCTGCGCGCGCGCGCGTGTGTGTGTGTGTGTGTGTGTGTGTGTGTGTGTGTGTGTGTGTGTGTGTGTGTGTGTGTGTGTGTGTGTGTGTGTGTGTGTGTGTGTGTGTGTGTGTGTGTGTGTGTGTGTGTGTGTGTGTGTGTGTGCGTGCGTGCGTGCGTGCGTGCGTGCGTGCGTGCGTGCGTGCGTGCGTGCGTGCGTGTGTGTGTGTGTGCGTGTGTGTGTGTGTGTATGTTGTCCGATAGGGGGTTTTCGCTCGAACGGAGGCCCCCCCACGGGGCCCCACCTATCGCACCCGCACCCCTTCTCGCCGTGGTCGCCCTGCTCCTTCGCATTCCTCCTCCCTCCTCTCCTTGCAGGTTTGAGTGTACGCCCGTCTGTCCCCTTCACCGCCCCCCCCCCCCCCCGCGCACGCGTGTGCGCTGGGCCGGGTTCGGCCACTCGCAGCGGGGTCAGGGGGAGGGGGGCAGGCTTCTGAGACGTGCCCCGTCTATATATGTAAGACCGGCGCCTTCTAAGAAGCAGCCTTTCGGGAGCCTTCGAGACGGGGGTCAATGCAAACGGGGGTCAGCCAGAGCGCCAGATCTTGCAGGATCCTGCGAAGATCCCCTCTGGCTGACCCGGGTTAGCGAGCCGCTCGTGGCCGCGAGGCGGCCGCGCGTATTGGCTGACCCGGGTTCGCTAAGACTTGCGTTGCATCTTTTTGTTCCTGCATTGCAGTTTTTTGGTTTCCCGCTGGCCCGGGTCTGGATTGACCCGGGTCAGAGGATCCCCCGAGATTTCTTCTAAGAAGCTTTCCCCCTCCCCCCACTCCCCTTGTTCGCGCCGCCCACGGAGCAACCAGCGCAGAACAACGGGCTCGACTTTGCCGACGTTCGCGCGTAAGTTGCCCGCGCGAGGTCGCCACTGAAAATCGATCCACAGCGACAGCGACAAAGCGAGGAACCAAATCCATCTCCAGGGCCTCGCGCACAGGACCCGTCA